CTGTTTGATGGACTTTGCCATCACTCAGTGAATGTGTGTGAAAGGGTGAATGTGGAACGTAGTGTAAAAGGGCTTTGAGTGGTCAAAAGACTAGAAAGGCACTATACAAGTACAGGTCCATTTACCATTTAAATGAATATGGACTTTTTTATGTACCTGGTTATGAAATAGGTCCCAGAGTCTGTGTATGAGGCTGGAGAGGAGCTGTGTGTTACCAAGCAGCACACTGACAAACCTGGAGGCCCACAGGCTTTGTCTGGAGAGAAAAAAAAAACCACACAAAACACACAGTGAATCTGTTTATTTCCACACCTGTGCACTGAAAACTTCACTATATCTGCCGCCATATTGCTGTGGCAAATTTCTCCCCTCTAAAATCAGTATCGTTCTCAAAGATGTGTATGGCCACTGAATGCCACTCCATTTGTTCTGTTGTTTCAACTTTTCAGTCCCTAAGTCCCGATCGATAAGATTTATTATATTATTATTTATTATAAGACTTTGAAAAGAGTTGTTCTACTCACTTGTTAGGAGGGTTAGCTCGGGAAGCATCTAACGTGCACTGGCAGAAGTTTCTCAGGATCATGTTGACAACCTGGGGATACGAAGGAAAGATTCTTTAAAGAATACACAGAGTAGATCTTTAACAAAGCAGCCATTTGGATATGAAATAGTAGAGTAATCACAATAAATTTGAATGTCAGCGGTGCATACTTTGACGTGAAACTCAGGGGACGGAGGAGTGTTTATGTGGAGTTTGATGACTGTCTGTCCAATTGGCTCATCGGGACAGCCAGGAAAGATGACACTCAGAGTGTGTGAGATTCTGGACAGCTGGGCTGACATCTCTGAGGATACATGAACAACATCACAGGTATGTAAATAAGGGATTTAAAGAGACTGTGCACAGTGTTAGGAAGTCTTTCTAAGATTAGGGATGATTCACAGATTCTTTGTATGCTGCATTTTAAGGCTCCAAGCAAAGTTGTTGACCAGCTAAAAACAGATTTGGAGAACACATTTAAACAGTTGAAAGTAAAGAACACACGCACTGTACCAGCAGCTGTTTCTGAAACTTCCAGAGAATGTACTAAAAGAAAACACACGTCACTGATAACTAGACGATGGAAACACGTCTTTGACGACCAGCTTGATATGAATATATGATATCTTTAATAATTTAAGGACTACTAGCTGAGGAAGTACACCCTTAACAATTAGATTTGGATACACATATTGCTGAAATTTCAATGTCACATATCCCCAAAACAACCAAACTAAACAAAAAAAAATAAAAAAAGACAAACTATCGAATTGCTTAAACACAGAACTAAAGAACACCTGTAGCATTTCTCTTCCAACTCTTCTTTTCGCTCTTTATAAACTCATCATTGCCAGTGTCTGTTCACTGAATTTGACCATCACAAAGACCAGAGGTTGCATAACATCAAATCATAAAGTCTTTTCCCTGACTGCAGAATACTGCCTGCAGAAGCATGTGTGTGTGTGTGTGTGTGTGTGTGTGTGTGTGAGATACATCTACTTTCTCGATATCTGCCTACCTCCTTCATTTCCTTCAACAAGCAGCTCTGTGAACTCCTGCAGCTGAATCTTCAGGACATCCAGAGGGTCATCATTGGTGTCCAAACACACTGCACCAGCTGAAAACACATTCCATCTATCTTTGTCAGCGTTGGGAGATTTTAAGATGAAACATTCACTAATATTCATCATAATATTGTCATCTCTGCATTATGTAACCTTCTAAGTCGCCAAAGCATCACGGGGGTCGCAAGGCTTTCTTGATTTTAAGGGGCATAAGAAAACTTAAAACATATACACAGTAGGTTTATATCTCAGCAGTCTGAACTTTGAGCTGAGAGTCAAGAAAACACTGAATTTGTCACAAAAGAAGCCTATTGAGTATGTACGATTGTTAAATATTTTAAAAATACATAACACAGACAGAATTGTACAAACAGTTGCTAAAAATCTCAGAAAAACTCATCTCTAGTACAACATTCAACGAAAATAATCTGCTCAAAATTCATCCAAATACAATCCAATGCTTTACACAATTTGGAGTTATTCAGTTTAGTTTATCACTTGTTCTCTACTGTTGTTGTTATGCATTGAATATAATATGAAATATCCATAAAATTTGTCACAGAGTCAGTTTACTCAATGATAGAAAAAGGGGTCCCTTGAGGAAAAAGATTGGGAATCCCTGATCTAAGTGATCCTGAGTGTTATTAGTGTTAGGAAGAATACCCACAGTCCTGCTGCCTCTGTTTCTGGCAAGCCTCCACATAAGATGAATACTGTGCAGCTGGGATCTTATCCGCTCTGAATACAGACAAACAGCAGTCTTAACAGCAAAATACACATAATAATCACAGAACTATTATTATTATTAAGTATAACATAACAACAAGCTGCAGTAGGTAACTTTTATAAAAAAAAATTGCCATTTGTAATTATTGCTGAAACTTTCATTATGACCTGACATGAGAAAGAGCCGAGAAATATAGAAAAGACACTTTGGGACTCTGGGAATGAGACTCAACAATGAACTATCTTTCTTGGCTACTGATTGGTTGTTTTCATTCCAGGGCCGGTGATTTTGTAAATGCATTATTTGGAGCACTAGGAGGAGCCAGAAGGAAGCTGATTGTTTCACAGATTAAATCTGTCTCATGTACTACTGTACATATAGTGAAAGTTTTCAGCAAATATGACAAAGAAAATTGTTTTATAAAAATGGCCTACTGCAGCTTTAACAGTCTGATTATTGTTTTTTTGATCCTACAAACACAAATAAAAAAAAGTATAGATAGTAATGCTAAATTGAAATTAGTTAAAAAAATACATGTTGAGAGACAATAAATACACTGAACAAAATTATCAACACTATTTTGTTTTTACCCCATTTCATCATTGAGCCTGAACTCAAAGAATCTAAGAACTTTCTCTATGTATCACAAAAGGGACTATTTCTTTTCTCAAAATATTGTTCACAAATCTGTCAAAGATCTGTGTTAGTGAGCACTTCTCCTTTGCCGAGATAAAAATCCCATCCACCTCACAGGTGTGGCTATCAAGATGCTGATTCAGACAGCATGGGTATTGCACAGGTGAGCCTTAGACCTGCCACAATAAAAGGCCACTCGAAAATAGTTCCAATCACACAGCAGCAATGCACAGATGCCAAGTTTATTGAGGGAAGCGTGCAATTGGGCAATGCCTGACTGCAGGAAAAATGTCCACCAAAGAAGCTGTTGCCCGTGAAATTGAATGTTCATTTCTCTACTATAAGTGTTTCCAAACCAGCCGCAAACCGCCAGGGGCAGCTTGTGGCTTCAGAGGTAGAGGGGGTCGTCCCCCAATCCAGAAGGTTGTTGGTTCGATCCCCCGGCTCCTCCTGCCAACGTGTCGAAGTAATCCTTTGAGCAAAGATACTGACCCCAAATTGCTCGCAATAGCATCAGCTTGTGTATAAATCGAGGTTAGTTTCATGTTCCGATGGACTTTGCCGATCGCTGTGTGAATGTGGTGCTTGAAAGGGTGAATGTGGCAACGTAGTGTAAAAGCGCTTGAGTGTCGGAAAGACTAGAAAGGTATACAAGTATACCAAAAAAATGGGGTATACAAGTACAGGTCCCGTTTACCATTTACCACCCCGGAACAGCTGCTGCAACAATGGTTTGCATAACCAAAGAATTCTGCACCAACTGCCAGGAACCGTCTTCAGGGAAAGCTCATCTGCATGCTCGTACGTCCACAGATCCGGGGTCTCGACCTGAACTGCAGTTCGTCGTTGAACCAGACTTGAGTGGAGCAAATGTCACATTTCAATGGCGTCTGGCACTATTGGAGAGGTTGTATCTCTTCACGGAATGAATCTCCGGTTTTTTCACTTGTACAGGGCAGATGCAGAACAGCGTGTATGTGTCGTGTGGTGGAGCGGTGTTTTGTTTAATGTCAACGTTTTGGAATCGATGGCCAATGGTGGGCGGTGGGGTTTATGGTATGAGGCAGGCGTGTGTTATGGATGAAACGGAACACAGGGTGCATTTTTTAAATTGAATGGCATTTTTGAATGCTACAAGAGACAAGACCGTGACGAGATCCTGAGGCCATTGTTTGTGCATTCATCCACGACCCATCAGCTCATGGTTGCAGCTTTTTTTTGATAATGCACGGCCCCGCCAATGTTGAAGGATCTGTACACAATTCCTGGAAGCTGAAAACTCCCCAGGTTTTTGCATGGCCAGATCTCACCGGAATGCACCCATTGAGCATGTTTGGGATGCTCCTGGAATGGCGTTACGACAGCGTGTTTCAGTCACTGCCAATATTCAGCCAACTTCGCACGAGCCATTGAAGAGGAGTGGAGACCAACATTCCACAGGCCGAAATCAAACCAACCTCATCAACTCTATGCAGGGAGATGCACCTGCGTGAGGCAAATTGTGGTTCACACCGAGAACCACTTGTTTTTCCGGACCCCCGGACCCCCAAACAACAGTGACATATTTAGAAGAGAATAGGCCCTTTGTGTACATAGAGAAATCTTAGATCTCAGCTCATGATGAATGCCAAAAAACAAAAAGTGTTTGCGTTTTATAATTTAGGATAAAATACATAAACTCCAGTCGGTAAAGTTGATGTGGAGAGACATGATTATAGTTAACACTGAACTGGAAGAGTTACAATACACAAATTTTCCAAGCTTCTGGTAATAACTCACTTTCTCAGAGCTTCTATGAAACTCATCCGAGTATCGGCTTTCACAGGAAGCTGGAATTGAAAGAAATGCATAGGATGTGAAGATTAGTGACAAAATAACAAAAAGATCAAACAAACAACAGTAGTAACAGTGAAGGTGCTCACCACTCTCTGTGTCAGCAGAGCAGGGAGGAATCGTGTCAGGAAATATGGCCTCCGGAAAATACTGTCAGAGGAGAGAGGTGTCAATGACCTGTCTACGTCTCTACATGAAACCCAGTTTTTCAAAAGGACTCTCATATACTGTGATGTAACTGATAATGTGACTGAATACCTGGCCTCCATGACTGTGGCAGAGATTCTTCCTGTGCTCTCAAACAAAGACACTGCCTTCTCCACATCATGGGAAGCCTGGCACTGGGGTGGCACACACAGAAATATTATACCATCATATTATTAAGATACTAAAAATATAGCTTAAAATGCAGTCAAATTTTGCTCAATAAAAAATGAAGGTGCTATAACTAGGGCTAGGTATAAAACACTAGCTTTGGTAATGACTGAAACGTGTGTCTAGCATCTAGTTTTAAAAACTGCTCAAATCTCAGGCAATTTTATTTAGGCTAAGTTCTTGTGCACCGGCTGCTTGCGATTAGACAACATTTAACTAAAGGTCCAGTTTGTAGGGTTTAGTGGCATCTAGCGGTGTAGTTGCAGATTACAATCCCCTTACCTCACCCTCCTGTTCATAGTGTGTAGGAGAAACTACGGTGGCTGCAAAACTAACAGAAAACACAAAAGGACCTAGACCCAGTGTTTGCTTTGTCCATTCTGTGCTACTGTAGAAACACAGTTTAACATGGCAGACTCCGTAGCGGAGGACTAGGGTTGGGCGATTAGACGAATATAGCGGCTATATTGGCAATGGTCCATCTGAGTCCATTCCCAATCATCCAAACGTTGTTTTGAGTGAGTTTTTGGCCAACTTTTGTAATTTCACTTTGCTAATTTAATAGAAACACAGAGCTGGGAAGGTGGGTTGGTAGTTGATTAATAAAATTTACTGCATTAAATATTTCAATTCTCTTTGCCACTTTCCTAGGAGCTTTATCAAAATAAGTGTACTGACATCTCATGACAATTCATCAACAGCTATCATTACACAAACAAACCACTGGGTGTCACCGTTACCTGTGCTGATGCTCCACCTGTACCAGAAACATCTTCATATAATCCCATGTCCTCCACTGACTCCTGCATGTACACACAGACACACAGACACCAACAAACATCATAAAACATTTGGGAAGACTGTCTCGGACTGGAATTTAGGCAATGTGCTCCCAGGGATTCATTGAGGACCTTGAACTTTAACCCCTGCTCTTACCTTGAGGTCAGCCAGTCTGGTCTTGGCCAGAGAGACATACTCCATCAGGAGGCTGCGGTGTTTCACAGGTATGTATGGAGGGTGCAGGATGTGAACCTGCCAGGTGAAAATGGCAGAGAGGTGTTAAAAATCACAGCTGGTTCATTTCTGTGTTTCTACTGTTTTCTTTCAGATACTGATTTGGTTGCACTTTTGAGTCCAGCACAGACTGCAGACCAGCAGTGGAAGAAGTACTCAGATATTTTACTTAAGTAAAAGTACTAATACAACTTTCTAACATACTTCATTACAAGTAAAAATCCTGCATTAGCAGCTAAACATACTTAAAGTACATATTACACACACATTACAGACTACACATTACATTACACATTAAATATACTTACTTTTCACCACAGCTGCAGACTGTATAATAGGTATGAAGTCATATACTTTTCTGCAAGCTTTTTCAAGTAATGATCGTATATTATACTTCATAGCCCACTAATAGTATAAACATGTATGTTTTTCCATTCATCTATATGTTAACATGTCTTCTTCTGAATCCTGTTCATATTTGCTGTTAAAGTATCCAGTTTGCCCATGGGGAACATTAATATAAAAGACACCATGTATCTCATGTCTAGTGAAATGAGGTTATTAGTAATGTTTAATGTTTTAAGTCAGACATATGCGCAGGATGTCACCTTCAGATACTGTGGGGGTTCATAGGGCACCAGGTCAGAAAGGAACTTCAGCAGAAACACCAGAGATTTCTTACTGGTTGCATGGTAGCCACTGCCTCCACCGAAGGACATCTGAAAAGGCAGGAAAGAATTATTCTACTAGTAACAACAACAAACAGCCAAAACTGTCAAACCTACAATCCAAACATCTTGTTGCAACATAGGTTTGATGAACATTACTATCAATCCACACAGGCACACAATCCACCTTTGTTAATCTCTCTCCAAAAGCAAAAAACATACTTATTGCACATTTGAATGGATAATTATTAAAGAACAGCTTAGAGCAATTCAAGTTACAGATTAAAACTGATCAGAATTGTGTTTAAAAATGAATGAATCTGGTGCCATCCAGTGCCAGTCACCTCTGATACAGTGTGTAACACCCTATTTATACTTGGTATTAAAATGTGATCTCTTATCCGGATGATAAATCACTGTCTTCCAGAGCAAAACCTGTGCCAGTAATTTGAGCGGCAGTGAATCAGCCCCAGACTCCCTGTTATTCCTTTCTTTGGATAAACGATTGTGTCAGTTTGCGCCAGTGTTGCAGCACCAGCTTCTCTGTGTCTATGTAAATGATATGCCTTATTAACAGCAAATCATATTGTCACACACAGCAATTTCTTAGTGTATATCATTCATTTTCAACCGTATTGCTTTTATTTTCCATGCAGTTCTGTTGAATAACTCATCTTTTGGTGCTTTCATAGTACAGAATAGATGTATAATCAGTAATTAGAGTCTCTCTTTTTGCCTTCTCGCTTGCTCACTTAGCACGTGCAGATTCTGTCTACACCTACCTAAAATCCACACACAATGCGAGCCAGACTACCTCCAGATGTGGTCAGGCAGATCTGATCACATTCCGATCAGGACAGCATTTACACCTTGCAAAATAAATTGTTTTTCCTTTTTTTTTTTTTCTCCCTTTCTAGATAACGTGTCCGGATATAGACTGCATTTTAATGCCGGGTGTAAATGGGGTTTATGATAATGTGTTTGGTCTACTTTACTCTAAATGGGGCCATAATTTACTAAATGAACATCATGCTGTATGGAAAAAGACTGAAACTAGAGACTGAGACCATAAACTCATCAGGAAACTGTTTACTGAGCTAATAAATCAAGTCAGAAGTAGGGTAATTTCTCTGTACGACTCAGTTCTATCAGACTTCTTTTTTACAGCCAATGGAGCTGCCCACTGCTGGTTATTAGAAAGAATGCAGGCTTAGGACACTTCCACATTGGTTTCACTTCACAGACCCAGAAGCTCTGTTCACTAATTATATGCCATCAATGGTCTGACCCTATTTAAAAGGCTTCTTCATCGAGTTATTTGGTGAACACACACCAGAATAGCTGCTGGTCACGGCACTGAGAAAATGTGATGGTGATTAGTATCAGCAGCACTAATCCAAACACAAATATAAATCAGCTGGTGTTAAAAAGCACATATGAAACCTTGAACCAGTCGCTGTAGGAGGGGAAGATGCCGGGCCCCTCCAGCGCACCCTGTCGAGCCAACAGGAAGGCAGTTATCATGTTCTCCAGGTCATAGCCTTCAAATGCAGAACTCAGCAGTCTGGACAGCAGCTCTGAAACACAACAGAACAGATTTGTATTGATTTGTGTTTGCCTTTGTGTATATACTGGTCTGATATATTAGTGTGTAGGAAATTAAGCTTTTATCAAATATCTATGAGAAATGCAAATGTTTGTAATAGTTTAACAGCAGATGATACATTTCAATATTTGTTTCTTATTTAAAATGGTCAATTTTATTCTCAGCACTTGGCAAGTTTGAATGCAATATAACTTACTTACTAAGTTACTGGTTAGTTTACCTCTTAGGCTAAGCTGGGCACAGGGGCTGTAAACCAGCAGAGTGGAGAGGAAACACAGGACATGTTTCCAGTTAACCTCATGGGTTTCCAAAACCTGCTGCAGGTGACACAGCAGCTGCTCCACACTGAAGATCACAGCCAGCTTTTACAAAAAAACACAGAAGAGTTTCAAATCTTTAAAAGGTAATCTTCTATAAACCGCATTCATTATTGAAACCAGAACTTTCTCCTTTGAAGAAGGAAATTACTAGGGCTTGGATAAAGAGTATGGGTCAATATGTGTATATACATATATACTCATAGGTAAACTTAATTTGTATTGGGGGCCGACCTTTCATACATTTTGTTATGTTATGTTTGTTATTATACAGTTTGTCTGACCTTGTGAAATACCTTTTGGATTTACTGCAGGCACTTTTTCCTTTTTCTTTTTTATTCTCTTTTCCTTTTTTAAAATAGTATATATATATATATATATATATATACACACACACATACATATATATACATACATA